AGAAGTGTTTATTTATATGCATATATATATATATATATATATATATATATATATATATATATATATATATATATATATATATATATATATATATATATATATATATATATATATATATATATATATATATATATATATATATATATATATATATATATATATATATATATATATATATATATGCAAATTTATATCGAAATATTGGAAATGGGTTTAAAAATTATATCACCGTTTTTGAAAAAAAATCTATCGCAATATACATGAATACTGAATTATTGTCCAGCCCTAGCTCTTCTCAAAGATTAGACAGAGTGAATCAATTAAATTTTTTTTTTTCACTTGGCACGTAATAGTGAAGTGAACTGAATAGTGATTGTTCAAATGATTTATGTTAGTAGCCACATGTTTTTATTGTTCGTGACTTATGTGGCACAAATTAATTAAGGACCGTTCTGGAATGTGATGCTCTTTTCTGCACCATCACTGTTTAATGACGTCATGTTTCGGGAACACTGAAGTTGTTTGGTGGACGTTGGGCGTGGTAACTTTTATTTCCTGGTTTTGTTCCGGGAATTATTCATTTACAAATTAAGCACTGCCCGCCGGTGACCTACTCACACCTGCAGCTTCTCCACCATGGACATCCAGCGTTCTCCAGCTTCCAGTGCCTAGACTGTAGCTCTGCACAAGACGTTTGGCCAGAGGAGAATTGATCGTTCCCAACTGAGCCTGGTTTCTTTCAAGGTTTTTTCCTTCACTTTGGTCAATTGGTGAAGTTCCTCCACTGTCGCCTCTGGCTTGCTTTTTTGGGGACTTGTGGAGCTGCACATGGATGGATCTGCTCTTCAGTGTTTGGACTTTCAGCAGTGAAAGTTAAACCACACTGAACTAAACCAAACTAAACTTCAACTCTGAAAACTGGACTGACAGTTTCAGTTTACTAGAACTTCTATGTTAATCTGCTTTAACACAATCTACAGTTGACGTCAGATTTATTAGCCCCACTAAATTATTAGCGCCCCTGTTTATTTCCCCCCCAATTTCTGTTTAATGGAGGGAAGATTTTTTCAGCACATTTTCAGCACACCTAATATATATATATATATATATATATATATATATATATATATATATATATATATATATATATATATATATATATATATATATATATATATATATATATATATATATATATATATATATATATATATATATATATATATATATATATATATATATATATATA